ACATCTTGTAGTTGTCGGCTTACGAGGATTGAACGTCCCAGTGCCGGAGCAGTCCACCAAGGTCACCTGTACTCTCAACAATGGCATTCACTTCGTGACTACGCCAGAAGTGGAGTTTGGTCGGGAATGTACCATAGACCAGGAGTTTGAGCTGTATGTCATCTTCTCCTGCGGAACCTCCGCCACGTTTGCTGACTGGGAGTTCACACAGGATCGAGCATAGCAAACTCGAGTTCACGCTGACGATTAAGGTCCGCAGGGACCCTCACATTGTCGCGCAGTTCAAAGCAAACCAACCACCCGCTGCCACGCGACCGCCGCCTCAGCCCCTACCACCGCCGGCATCGAAGGGCCACTCGAAGAGTGGTGGCATGCGCAGCTTCCTTGGACTCGGTTCTCCCAAGAAGTCCAAGACTGCCGCGCGCGCTGCCTCCCCCGCTCCTGTCGTTCCGTCCGCCCCTCCCTTCACCCTGAAAGAGAATCTCGCTCGGTATCTGAAGCCAGATGGCTCGCTTGGGCGCGCCTTCATCTCCTTCAAGGACATCGCCTCGCACTGCGACACTCGGTTGATGGAGACATCGTTCCCGCTGATTGGGCAGAAGCTCGAGGTGGGCTCAACGGCCAAGGCGCTCCAGATCGGGGAGATCGTGCTTCAAATCTTCAGGCTCCCGCCTCTGCCCGGCATTCCTCCTGAGCAGCTGCCGCAGAGCTTGGAGGAATGCCACCGAGGCTTGACGCATACACGCTGGCACAAGGCGTGCTATATGCAGGGGACGCTGACTCAGATGGGCGGCGACTGTTCGGTGAGCGCATAAACGTATCGCTCGCCGCATCTGACAGCTGAGAAATACTATACATGCAGACCTGGCGGAGACGACATCTGCGTATCGTCGGCAGCAGTCTTGTTGCGTACAATGACGTCACCAAGCGCGCAATCGCAAGCATCGACCTCCGCAAAGCCACGCTTGTCGTTGACCTCGATGAAGCCAAAGAGGCACGCAGTCCTGGCTCGGTAGCGACAGCAATTAGTTTCGACGATGGGGAGTGCGGCGGGACGAGCGTGGATCGCGCGTTCAGGCTACACTTTGGTGTCGACGAGATTACCTTTTATGCTGACACTGACCAGGAGAAGGCAGATTGGTACGTCCCCTCCAGTCTGCTAAGGTGACTGACTGTACTAATATCGTCGGCTCATAGGTTGAACATACTTCGAGCTCTGGTCGGCCGAATTCCACCAAATCCTCTATGGGCAGAGCTGTTGTTCCAACGACAAGAACAGGCGCGACAAGAGCAAGTACGGCAAGCCCCACAGTCGTCCACACCTGGTCCGTCGCGATAGATTATATGATTTCCCTTCTGTATCACCGTGTCTCCGTTATCGATTCGCCTCCGCATACATTCATTGACACCGTTTCCGTTTCCTTCTATGATCCAAGACTCTTCTAAATCTTTCGTTTCCTTTGTATGTGTACGCTACTCTATCTCCTTCCCGCTGTTATTATCGCTCGTGTTCTTGCGATTATGATGACGATGACGATCTGCATGAAGTTTCTGACCAGTATGTACCTATGTACCATGTCCCGGTCCAATGACATGCCCCATGACTTCTCTTATTCTTAGAAGCCATAGAATCGGCGTTCGTAGTGGCCAAAGCTCCCACAAGGGGAACAACTCCATGTACTCGACACGTATGTGGATGCCCTGCATTTACTGATCATAGTTTGACTTCGTTCTTCAGACGGATCGCCGTCGAGCAGCCTCCTCCAGGTCTGTTCGGGTTCGTCAACACACCGGGCCCGCTGCACTCTTTCGCAACACTGCAGCAATGATTCACGTCTGCTTCATGGCACTCTAGCTGAGAAGTCACTTCTTCAAGCGGCCCGACACTCGTTTCCGGATGCGGCCCTGCGATGCGATAACAGGTATTGCGTTCATGCTGATCACTGTTCGCGCTGGGCTCGGGTGAGCGCAAGGGGCGCAAACGGCCCACTGTCTCTAGCAATGACATGGCTTCCCTAGAAGCGTCCGCCTCTGTCACCGAGAAAATGCCGCTATATCTCTCCTTACCATAACCTTCAGTACCCAACCGAGCGTGATGGTAGAGGCCGGGGAAACGCACAGCGAAGAGCTGTTTGCAGCACGAGCGTCACTGAGACCCACAAAATTGATTGTTCGACCGGTCCGATGGACTACGTATACATAGACATGATACGCTGATATCTGCAGCTCGGGAAATGATGCGACAGACAAGTATCCGCGCCGACGTAGGAGAGAAGTACTCTCATGTACGAGCGACGGTTGATAGAGGAATCCGTGGTATGGGTCCCAAACCAACGCCAGGCACTCCCCGTGGCGAGAGGGAGAGGTAGGATTGAGTCGGCATCGATGATCGGCGTCGCCTCGCCTCGACGTTCGACCTTTCCCGGGGCTGCTTCGGCATGCAAGCCTTCTGCGGCTCATCTTCTGAAGAGGTACGGGTCAGCGTGGGGGAGCTAGGAGTCAAGAAGCGGACGGTGCGCTTGAGAGATTCGGATCCGCATCTCTCGGTAACAACATTCCTTCCATCGGTCGCCCAAGGCTTGTCCTCTGGGGCTGGCTGGTCAAGAAGTGGAACTTCATCATATGACCATATCTTGGGTGGTTGTAAACGGAGACGTTCGTACACCGGTCCCTTCAGATCAAGCGTGATGACATGCGTCTGGCACATAATCGGGCGGATACGCTCGAACCCCTCCCACTTTCGGAACTCGATCTCCACCCGTCGTTGCTGGTCACCAAAGACAGTCTTGATCATGAAGTCATCCGCGCGCACCATCGTGAAGTCGACGTGCATCCGTTTGCAATTCGGCACCGTCTGAATCGGGCCCTCGATCGCCGGGAGCTGCTCACCCTGGGCGGACGCAGGCGCACTCGTCGCGCTCGGGTTAGCCGACAACGGTGCGACGCGCACGTCCACCCAGATCTTATGCAGTGGAACGCCATCGGAAGGCGGGATGCGAATACATGTGCACTGGCCGACCCCGACGATGATCGTGAGCTTCTCCTTCCGCAGGGGGTCTGCAAACGAGACAATTGAGAGGGCTCCCGTCTCAACTTGCTTTTGAGTTAGCTTGAACGGAACGCGCAGCTGGACTCCGATTGAGTCGTCGACGGTCTGGCGCATTGGGAGCAGCCCGTGACGCTCTCCGAGGCGCACGAGCAGCCAAGTAGGTATCGTGAACGTGAAGAAGTCGCGGGTCGCCATGATCTCGCGGATCGTGCCGTCCTGACGCAGATGGGAGACCGCCTGCGCTGCGCCCCGGTGATGGACGTAGATTGTATTATGTTCAAACTTCGTGTAATAGACTTGTCCAGACTTTGCCTTGCCTTTCTTCTTCCGAGGGGCTCCGGGGGTTTCGCTCATAAACTGCCATAGGTTCATCGGCTTGTCGGCCTCTTCGTCGGTTTCGTACTCCACCTCGTCTTCAATGATGGTCTTTGGGAATACTGCGCCGCGATGGTAGTGCTGGTCTTCCGTGCCGTCGATGAACTCGCCGGCAGCGTATTGTGGACCCGAAGAAGGATGGTTCGCGCGTCGGAGGAAGAGGACGATGATGTCTCGGTCCGCGTTTTCGCACGCCAGAAGTCCGAGTTGGACGTGCTGCGTCGTCGCTGTCCCCGTCCGCGCCATCCAGCTCTTCCACGACGCGATTGAGTAGGCGGACAGGGGTATGCTGAATTGGATACCAGAACTGGTGAGCGAGTACTGGGGAACCCAAGCCTTGAGCCTGAACTTGGTGGCCAATTCCTCCATGCTGACGGACCTGAATCCAGCAGCCGAGGCGAACTCAGACGGCGAGGGTGCGAGCAGGTCTTGCAGTCTGGCCTGCGTATCGAACGCAGTGGTCCTTGGGTCGTTCGAGCGCTGCTCCATCCCGAACTTGTCATGCTCCATGACCTCGCGCGCCTGCCTGACATCGCTGTGGAGACGACCCCACGCGAAAATGGTCTGGTCTGGGATGCGTCGGAGAATCTCCTCCTGGAGCCGGATGAAGGCGAGCTCGCCTTCTCCATAAATCGTAGGGATGTTGATACCGAAGATACCGAGGAGGGAGTAGGCGCGATCCTCAACGCGAGTGGTCTGGCGCCTGGCTGCCCAGGACATCCGCTGAGCCACACTGACAGTGTCAAGGGAACGCTTGTGGGTGAGAATGTGGCGGTCGATACCAGTGATCTGTTCGACTTCGTGGGCAAGCATATGCTTCGACCCCAACGTATGCCACGTCTGGGAGAGGAATATCTCGCGAGTGGGTGCGATGAGCTCTTGCAGGGTCCACCCTCGCTTGAACCATCGGCTGTTGCAGAATTGGGAGTCAGGCTCACGGGGATCGCCCTCATCGCCAACGTCGTAGAGATATGCGTAGCACACATCAGCATCGGCGTACCAGGTGAACATGGAGTTGATGGACTCGGAGAGCTCGGCGCTGCTGGCCTGGTCTATGCAGCAAGTGTCGATCCACGTCCAGTCGTAGCCAGCGCGCTCGGCAAAAATGCAGCAATCACGGATCTTGTCGCAGACGAGATCGCGGGGATTCTGGCCGGTACGCTCACATTGCTGAGCGAGCTTTACGAGATCGAGGAAGGAGTTTTCGTGCTCTGGGTCTGCCCATACGTGGGAGAGGATGGCATACTTGATGCCCTTAGATCCACTGAAGTGATGGAGAGTAGCATCGCGTGTGCGCAGTAGATACATGTCCTGCGGCACGCCGGATGAAACTCGTCATTCAGTAGCTCGAAAGGAATGAAGACCGGACGGCAGACTCACGAACTGGGAAAGGTAGAAGAGAAGAATCTAAGGCATTCACTCGAGAGTAAAGCCAGCAGTTGAGGGTGTGTGGGATGGAACATTCGGACAACAGCGGGTTTGTGTCTTCCAGTTTTCGGGAAGGACCGTACCTTGAGGCTGGACACAAGGCGTCGGCGTCGGAGGTATGTGTGTTATTACTGTCTGAGATCACACCGGCACTATAGTGTAGTGGTTTATCACTTGGGATTTTGAACGTCGGAGGGCGGTCGATCTCCCCCTTGGTCGACTGGCCTCCGGTGGATCTTCCCAAAACCCAGGTTCGAACCCTGGTAGTGCCTAAAGACAAGCTTTTTTATCCGTTCGCAATGGGGTCAGCTCTCGATCCTACAGTTTCCCTACTCTGCTATAATCCCGCCCTTGACCATGTTCCATCCCAGCTGCTCATACGTCCATCCAAGCACTGACCCATCGTCACTATAGGTGTGGTACCGTAACAATGAGCGATGCATGCCCGCCTTCGTATGAATTGCGTCGAGGGCCATCATGTTCTCATCTGTCAACGAAACGAGCTGTGTGTAGAGCACACCGAGGAGTATCAGCCGAGTCAATATCTCATACCCTCACTGACTCACCGTAATGTTTTGCTTGATTCGCTCCGGATTCTCGCTCTTCGGGATCACGACCGTTCCGCGCTGCACGCCCCAACTGAGAGCAACCTGACCGGGGGTTGTGTCGTGCTCCTGGGCAATCCGCATCACATCGGGATCGTTCAGGAAAATCGGCTTGCCGTCATATTCCTTCGGCCGACCTACAGCGACGCAAGTGAGCGCTCATGACGATGCACATTCTGACTCTGAGGACGAACCAAGGGGCGAGTATGCAGTCAGGATGATGCCTTTCTCGTCACAGTAACGTTTGAGCTCAAACGAGGGCAAGCATGGGTGCAGCTCGACCTGGTTCGTCGCGGGAACGACGCTCGTCTCCTTCAGCAGCACGTCAAGCAGCTTGATGGAGAAGTTCGACACGCCGATCGAGCGGACCTTGCCCGTCTCGAGCAACTTCTCCATGTCGCGCCACGTCTCCACATACGTAGGGCTCTGATCGTGCGGGATCGGCTTGTTGTCCTCAGTGTACGCTTGGGGCCAGTGCATGAGATAACAGTCGACATAATCGACCTCAAGCTTGTCGAGCGACTCCTGGAGAGAGGCCGCGACGCGGTGGTGGTGGTGATTGGGGAGTTTTGTCGTAAGAAAGATATCCTCACGCGGGACTCCGGACTCTCGGATCGCCTTGCCGACCTGCGCTTCGTTGGCATATCCGGATGCCTGGAGACAAGTTAGCAGGGTCGTCGGTGCGGCGTATACAGCGAAGAAACCCTAACCGTGTCAATGTGCCTGTATCCCATCTGTCGTTACAATGACAAATCAGCAGATGCATAAGCCACTCGTATCATGAGACCAACCTTCAGTGCCGTCTTACACATCTGCTCAACAACCTCTCCACCTCCTGAGGGGCCTAGCCAGCACCTGTAGTGAACACGGACTCGGTGTCAGATTGGATTGTGCGCTCAGGACTACCGTCCATGATCGAGACACAAATCGATCGAATAATACTCTAGTATGGAAGTTGATAGAGCAAGGAAGGGTATTGCGGCATGTCCGCCACCTAGTAATAGTCAGAGAGGGAGAGATACCTACCCCATGCCGATAGAGGGTATCTTATAGCCAGTGTTCAACGTGAAGCTTGGGATGTTCGCGGCCATGTTGAACTGGAGCAGAGTAAGAGTTGAGCTGAAGTGCGAGAGCCCAAATTTAGCTCGAGGATGGGACACGTACTTATAGTGCCTCAGGACTCTAAAGATGGCCCGCAGGCCGGAGAGGCCTGAGGGAGGCCAACATCCCCGCCGGTCCGCTGGCACATGACCACCTCCGGGCCGAATCCGCTCGCTGGGCTGAGCCCAGTGAGGGTGTGCGTTCTCGCGAGCTCCTAACATAGAGTTAGCATATGACCTCGATCGTAGGAGCAGGGAAGTTGTGAGGGCAACCCAGTCGCAACGATCATTGACTGTTAATGTTGACCGGTGACCACTGAGTGATCCGTGGAACCAGACGCTCAGCTTCACAAGTTGCAAGTTCGATTCTCGCGCTGGCCGACTTTTATGCTCTCTCGACTCTTTCCTGATTCCTGAAGCTCGGGCTTGCGCGACCAGTAGTAAGCAAGGGAGCCGGAGTCCAGGCAATCGCTTCCATTAAGGATGTAAACGCAGGTCAGTATATTGTAACACAGGGTATACTATCGAATGTCAAGTTGTCTTGCTCTACTATCACTCTGTACATTAGCGGGGTCCGTGGCACCAGTCAAATAAGTACACAAATTCAGCTCGAACGTTTCCCAACGCTGCTCAGAGAAATACCAGTCCTTTGTGTCCTCAAGCTTGTCCCTCCCGGCCGATGGTAACGTCCCTCGTACTTGATGTCGAGCTCGTACACTTCGGCCATCGGACCCTCGGGCGTGCCGGTGCACGGATAGCTAAACGAGAGCCGGATCTGCTTTCCTCCATTCCCGAACGTCCCGTAGCCATTCTTCCACATTTGAACAAGCATAGTCTCGTCCGGAATAACGTCCGTAGGTGGCTCGACCCGGATCGCGGGGATGCCGTCGCGACGCGGGGCGTCGATCCCCAGTAGCGAGTCGAGCTCGGTGTCAAACCGAGCCCAGGCCCAGAGTTGTGCTGTCTGCCCTATATAAGACGGATCGAGGGGGCATACTCCGAAGTGGATCGTGAAGGACTGATAGCCCACGAATGAAATGCTCCGGTAGTCTCCCGGTGTCTCCAATCGGAAGCCCGTGTCAGGTATTCTCGGCTCGATGTAGCCCATCTTGCGGAGGCGCTCAATAGAGCGCTGTGAGAGAATGATCGTGCATGGAGGCTCGAAGAAGACCATAGAGGATGTTGAGGATGAGTCGGAGCCAGCGCGGGTAGGAACGCGGAGACGGGCGGTGTCATTATGATGGGAATGGACGTGTATCTCCCTGGGAACTGGATGAACCGCAACTCGTCCGCGCTTGCCAGATTGTTGGCGATACGTCGCAGTATGTTCGGTCATGTCGGAGAGAGAGAGACGAGTTGCGCGGTAATAGAAGTTGCGCCTTCCACCGCGCGCGATGTATCCGCCGACGTAGTACTTCGTGCTTGCGCTCTTTCCTGGATGCGACCTCAGGAACAACGCAACGAGCCGGCCGAAGCCGTCTTCGCATGCCAGCAACGCAAGTTTCGCATCGACAGAGGCTGTCTGAACGACAGAGACCATGGGGAAGGTGGTACGGATACCAAGGCTCGTGTTGGTATACTCCGGTACGGTGTCGTGGATCTCTAGTCTCCTCGCGAAGTCCAAGCACGAAACAGGACTGATGTCCGCACAGCCTGCAAAGTCGGAAGGGGACGAAGCAAGCAAGGTCTCAAACTCCGATTGAGGCTCGTAGTCATGCTCTTGTGCAATCTCGACGAACCTCCCGGAGTGGTAGTCCTCGAGTGTGCGTCCCCAAGCAAAGATGCTTTGGTCCGACGACTTCTTGATGATCTCTTCCTGTAGGCGAATGAAGGCATGCTTGCCCTCGCCGTAGATGGTGGGCATATAAACCCCGAACAGTCCCATGAGCGAGTACGCCTGGTCCTCGACCCTTGACGTCTCCCGTCCCGCGGCCCACGACATGCGGCATGCTACGCTCACGTCCTCGAGCGATCGCTTGTGGGTGAGAACGAGGCGGTCGATGCCAGTCACCTTCTCGACAAGGGACGCGAGCCGCCATTTCGGCCCAATGACCTCCCACGCGCTCGACAAAAAGATGACCGAGGGCGGGGCAATGAGCTCCTGTAGGGTCCACCCGCGCTTGAACCATTTGCTATTCCTGAATGCGGACTGGGGCGCGCCGGGGTCCGCGCGGTCGGGCACGTCATCTAGAAACGCGTAGCACATTGCCGCGTTACGATACCAGACGAACATCGAGTTGATTGCTTCCGACAGCTCCGTGTTGTTCGTCTTGTCGATACAGCATGTATCGATCCAAAGCCAGCGGAAGCCATCGTGACGAGCCCGTGCGCAGGCCTTCCTGATCTTGAGCGTGGGTCTGCGGAATGCGTGATCGCGTGCACGGCGGAGGGCATTGTGGGTAGCGTTCTGCTGGACGCGGGGTGTCTCCTGGAACGTTTGCTCGTCTTCGCCCCAGACGTGGGATAGAATCGCATAGGGGACAGTGATGGGACCGGTAAACAACTGAAGTTGAATCCTCTCGGTGTGTAGCAACCACATGCAATGTTGTCGGTTCTATGAGGGATGAACGTGAGACGGGTCAGGGATCAGACAGTTGGGAATGAAAAGGGCATACTGTCAACGCGGATAGTCAATCTTCACGCAGGGATGAGACCGGGCGATAGGTGTATGGTGGACCTTCACTCGCTGCCAGCCGTACTTATACAAGGCGGCATGTATCTCAGTAGGCAGTGCGGTATCGCACGTCACCTTCTAGACTAGGCAGATGGAAGTCTTTGGACATCGGGAATGCAGATGCAATGACCGACGCTTCGGTCTGGATACTCTGAGCTGTGTTCACATTCTATGAGAATGACCTTGACGGTCGATGTATGCGAGTGTCACCGCAATGTGGTCATGCATAGTGAAATACCTGGCATGGGGTATATATTCCTAGGATTCGGGCGGGGCCTGCATGGACTCGGAGTGAGCGCTGTGAGGCTGTGTCAATGAGAAATATCATAGAGCTCTGGAAGACGACGATTGAATGGGCATAAGGACTAGCTGACATGGGAAGGCAGAGTCCTCGCACCGAAGCCTATCAGATTCCGAGTGTTCCGGTCGGAGAACTTGGAGTCATCTTGAACGCTATGCATTCAAAGCGAGTAAATGGCGGATACTTTTATGTGCTGCCCACACTATCGTCTTTGCCTCGTTTCAGTAGTCTATAGCATCGTGCCCCTGGCGTTCGAGAGATGCAACATTACTGCAGCTGGGAGTCAGCTCATGGAACTTGGAGAGATTAGTAAGCTAGTGGGCCACGCACTGGAGTCGACCTAGATCAAGAAGCACAATCGTGCGCCGCACGACGATTAGTAGTCTAGTATTAGGGAGTTGCGATAGCGTAGTCAGTCACTAGTCAAGACTAGTCAAGTCCAGTTACTATCACCATGACCTGTCATCGCCGATCTGGGTCATGATCAAGGAGACGAGAGCGTTGGTGATACTTAGACACAGTGATAGCGACCATACAGTTGTGCTGGCGGGCGCTACTCGGCCCGCCCACCCGGGCCCGTCTCCGTCCGCCA